CCCCATCCAGGAAAGTCCTTGTCCATCCTGTGTGTGTTTTCCCATTTGATCCCCATTTAATCAATATTGTAATCTTATTGGTTAACCACAGCTTTGTCTCACCTCACACTCACCCTGTGATTTGCCAATATTACCTAAGGGACTATACTTGTAATCTTATTGATTGGTTATAGCTCCTTCTCACCTTAAACGCACCTCACCTCATGGCTTTGCTCAATAAAACAGCCTTGAGAAGCAGGGTTTGTGGGCAACACCCTTTCCGGGCCCCCTTCTGTCCTACTTAGACAGAAGCTTTCTTTCTCTCAATAAATTCTTTCTACTCTTAACCTCCTTTCTTCCTACAACTCATTCCTCAATTTTAGAGCACATGAACTCAGCATTTTGGACATCTAGCAGGTTGGGAGTTTCATTCCCCTATACTAGTTAGATAAGAAGAAAAGAAGTAAGATGGGTGGAAGGGGTTTGTAGTTAGGCAACGGAGGGCTGAATATGAGTAAAATACATACACACTGAGACCTTCTCCCCAAAATGTAAAACTAGAGGGGACAGCAAAACAGGTGAAAATGACCGAAGTATGTTAATTGCATGCACTAATCTGTCAAAAAAAATTCATTAATCTGAACAACCAATAAAACACAGTGCAAAAAAAGAAAAAAGAGAAAGTAATGCATAATCAGTTTCCAAAGGATGACCACACAAACCTTGGGAGCAGACAGCAGGAACATAATTTAAGTATCTGGACTGGATAAGGGGCCAGGGCATCAATGGCTGACCTGAGAAAGATTCATTGAAGTTGAAATAGAAGCATTTTTAAGTCAGGACAATTAGGGAGTGCGAGAATATTCTGGACAATTGTGCATATTTTTTTCTATCCTGCTAGGTTTTAGTCTGTAAAGACCAGGGGCTGAATTTTATTCCCAGTAAGTCTATGACAGTGACTAGAAATCCCCTTGCTCCTAGGAACTGTTTAAAAATTAGCCAACAATTTATAAAGAAATGTAGAATACTTTAGTTGTCATCCTTAAAATGACAGCAGAAACTCTGTTCCCATGATTTCTGTACCTATCTTGGGGTGGTTACACATTTGGGGTCCCAACAAAAATGGTAGTTAAAAACTTGCTAGTTCTGCATGGATCACCTTCCTTTGAGGGCTCACAGATGGTAGGGTAAGAACCCTTTAGGTCTTGTACTGACATTCATTTTTTTGCCTAGAGACTAGAATCAGATCACACATCCCAGCAATCAGCTTCCCATGGCAGCTTCTTCACATTGCATGACACTTTGCAGATCTGACTCCATTTCTTTTGATAAGAACCTTTTGGTTGTCTCTGAAGAGGATGACCAGAGCTCACTGAACATCTTACCTGTATTATGGTAAGGACAGCACACTCATAAGAAGCACAGGAGCAAGGCCTGCCCAAGTGGCCCTGCTGTGCCACTTAAAGGTGAATGCTTATTCAGCAGTGGCAACCTGGAAACAGGAGTCTTAGTCAAGCTTCCCAGAGATGGAGGCTGTGGTCAGGCTCGGTGGGCAGTGTTGGGGGCTCAAACTCAATGCATTAGCTGGTTCTCTGGTGAGGCTGATCATTCGGGTGTCTGGTAGTAGGGCTGTTCCAGTCTTCCTGTCAATGAGTAGGCTCCACTGGGAAGTACTCTGGAGGCCCTGGCCTCTCAAAGGCAGGGGTGGGGTTGACTTCACAGTAGCTCTTAACTCTTCTTTTGAGAAAGACAACTCAGAACACAGAGGCCTGAGTATCCTGATTTCCCAAGGGTACGAAGTGGGGAACAAAGTGAACTTTGCCAATTACTGTGTTCTTTTTCTTTTCTAGAAATAAAAAACGTAGTAATGTATGGTTAAATATTGGTCAATAGCAGTGTTCATCTTTACCCTTGAATAGTGAACCCCAAGGAACCAATCACACTTCAGCTTTCATCTGGATGCCGATAATCTCACACAGAGCTGAGCACTTGTTCCTCACACCTGAAATCTGAGGGCAGGCTGAGAGAGGGGACTTAGGTCTGATCGGCTTAAGAGATTTCATTGGAAGGGACTCAAAAGGCAGGAAATCAATGAAGCTGGAACCTGGCCTTCCAGGGCCAGTTGATCCCAGGAAATGAGTTCCATCAACCAGAGTTAGAAAGTCTTTGTCCCCAAATGCTGAAGGCAGGCCGGGAGTCACTGGCCACGAGGGGGAGCACCTCGATAGCTCACACAGAAACAGTTTTTAAAAATGGGAAATGATTATTCCTTGAAGCTGGGGTAAGGAGCGAACTAGAGAAGAGAGATAAGAGGTAGAAAAATGATTAAACTAGCAAGGCCTTCTCAAGCCTCCCTTTAAAAATGAACACCAGGGAGACATAAGGGGAAAATGGTCGAGCATACAGTATAATTTTTAACTGGAGTAGTGCTGTAAAGTATCCTCATGCAAAGCGCTGTGGGATGGCAAGGAAGAAAACCAGCACCATGGAGGTTACAGGGCCTGAAACGGGACCTCAGCAGCAGGCTGTAGTGTGATGAAGGTGTAGAAGGATGCAAAGGGCAGTAGCTACCTGAAGAACACAATGTGATTAGGTGCTGCAGAAAGAACACAAGGCTGGTTCCTGGCTTGGCAAGCCAGTCTTTCCTGGAGTCATACACTGAAGGTATGCACGCCCGCCGTGCTGAACTGATGCACATGTACTTGTAAAATAGAAGATAAGCACAAAGATGAAGGAAGTGACGGCTTCCTCAGACAGTATCTTGCATTGTTTTTAAACTAGGTGACTATAGACAGCCCTTCCCGATCCTTGCCATGAACCAGGAAGATTGTATTTGTAATCCACGGAAAAGTTACTGGAATTGTAATGAGTTAATTCCAACCTACCACATCCAGTGCAAGCTATGGCATAAGTAAAGACACAATAATATATCCAAAGTGGTGGGGAATCAAGGGGGTCCTGAGTGCAGCCACAATGATGGCTATCTTGAACAAAGGCCTGACCCAGGACTGAACCCAAATTTTATTCATTTGTGAAGAAGGGAGTGGCTAGAGGATGAGTGACTGTAAGAGTGGTGGGAAGTAGTGAGTGCTGTGAGCTGGGCTAGGTAGGATGTCCGAAATCACCTCTACAACATGCAGAGAAAAGGATATGCGGGAAGAGTAATCTGCATAACAAAATTGAGATAGTATCTAATGTTTGGGGGTCGGTGCTTCAGCTCTGATGTGTAATCTTTCAAGTCCCAGGAAGTCATACCCTGTATCTTGAAGCTCAATCCCAGTGAGAGCATGGAGCATTGGCTCTTTTTTTTGTTTTGTTTTGGTTTTTGTCTTTTTGAGACAGGGTCGCACTATGCAGTTCAGGCTGGCCTTGAGTTCACTTTGTAGCCCAGGCTGGTCTCCAGCTTGCAACAATCCTCCTGCCTCAGCCTCCCGAGTGCTGGGATTACAGGCATGCGCCACCACACCCAGTGGAGCATTGGCTCTTCATTCCGCCTCGTCCTGCTCACACAAGGGAACAAGCAGGATGGGAGGGGGACACTGCTTTTCGTCTTCAAAGACTACACATCAGCACCTCAGCTGAAAGCCCCTGAAGGGGTAAAGAAAAGTCCTAGCCAGCTCTATACACATCAATACATGGAAATAAGGTCAGGCTCAACCCAAATGGAGATAACTGTTCCTCCTTCAAGGAGAGTTGCCCAGGTGTCCTCCACAGATGACAGCTGCCAGAATATACAAAGCTGAAGACTGAAGTCTCATTAGTTCTTGACAAAAGATCAGTGCAGAGTGTGGTTTTTTATTTGTGACCATTTTTGTCTTCGAAGTAGCCAGTATCAGGGTCATCAGAGAGATGGAGCAACCTCTGACATCACAGAGGAGGCACAGTCAAGCCAGGACACCATCTGCTGTGAGACTAAGCTGGGTTAAAGCCACAGCAGTGCCGGGCACACTTCCCTTCTGTCCTACCCCAGTACTGACAATGATCTGACAGGCTGCAGATGGAGCACGTCAGGCGTTTATGTTACAAACACACACACGCACACACACACACACAGAGGACACTGTAGCAATATTATTACTGTGTCTTCATACACACCCATTTCGGGACCGTGTAAAACAACTTTATTAGTCTTAAAATACATCTTTTATGCTAAAATAATAGCAAATAAATAATATTCTTTTATTAACCACTAAAGATAATCCATTGTTAAATAATCTACTATTAATAGATTAATAGATAATCTACTATTAATCTGGTTTACTCTAAACAAAGATAACAATTCAAATGTGAGCTGTTACCTGTTGAAGTGTAATCAGAGTTAGCTGTGTAAACTGAGTAACTGCAATGCTGTCACACTGAGTGCAGAAAAGTAAAATTCTGTTCTTCTAAGAACATTTCAAAAGTACATGGGCACATGTATATCTTTAAAAAATCTACTACCTATCGTAAGCATGTAAATTATACCATTTTAAGTAATACTACAAAAAGATCCTGACCATTTTTAATTAATACAAATAAAATATATATTTAAGGTATTACAATTCAAGATATTTTTACATCAGTTTGTGCTTTTAAAACTACTGCTAGATTTTTTCTGGAAAAAGCCAAAATAGCTATAAATTATAAGAAAAGAAGAGTTTTTACTTTTTTGTTTTGTTTTGTTTTGTTTTTGGTCTTTTTGCAACAGGGGCTCCCTATGCAGTTCAGGCTGGCCTTGAGCTCACTTTGTAGCCCAGGCTGGTCTCGAACTCACAACGATCCTCCTGCCTCAGCCTCCGAGTGCTGGGATTACAGGCGCGTGCCAGCACATCTGGCCTAGTTTTTGCTGTTTTAATACAAAACAATATGTTCACACTAGAAGAGGCAAGACAACATAGAACAACCATCTTTAACTTTCCCTGGAAAAAGAAAAATCTATTCAGTGAAATACATTACTATGGTAATTGCTAATTTTATGTTTTTATAAGTGTACAAGAGGGCTATTTTTTCTTGGTCAGTAACCAAAACAAACACTCCATGTCTAGGAATAGATGCATGTATATATATTTACACAGATATGAAATTAAGAGCATCTACAGAAACCAGGACAGATCCACACACTTATTCAGTGTCTCAGAAATTCCACTCAGGTCCCAGTCAGTGGGCCTTAAGTGTTGAAAATGTTCTGCATAAATAGAGTAGAAAAGCAAACCTTTCCTAGTAGTGTCCATCTGTATACATTTACTAGAATATTTAAGTGGATATAACATGATTAGCTCGTAAAAGAATGCCTCTTCTTCAACCAAATTCCCTCCTTGATGAACAAAGATGTAACTGTAATTTGCTCAGGGAATTCAATATTCAGTTACACTGACTACAAATGAATTATGACTCACTGTTTTTTCTACGTAGAGGTAGCATCTACAGAGAAACAAAATTCCCTATGGAGAAAATACGTTGTTTCATTTGCATTCATTATTTACTTGCATGTGGGGATCCAGCTGGACACTCAGCTCTCACAAGTGGTCCATCAGATTAGTCAGACAGATTAAATAACAGCTTGGATCCCTCCCAGATAAAGTGATTAATTATTCATGGGTAAGCAACTGGGTGAAGCCTGCATCAAGAGGGCATAGAACATTGAGTATAACTGAATGATTCACATCCTTATTAATGTGTCACAAATTGTAAGTCCCCAGTAAATCAAAAAGTTTTGTAATTCACAGTTAGTATTTTCTTGTTGATTGGTTTTAAGTTTCTCTTTGGGCTTTCATGCTAAGTGCATTCTAAGAGAGCCAAGGTAGAACTACTTTTGTATTTTGTGATCCAAGCCTCTTACCATGCTATATTGTTCAGTTTGTGAAAAACAAAATAGAGAATCACAGTGTATATTTGCTATAAAGCTTAAAGCTCAGAATCCAGCACACTACCAATGTATTTGTCCGTGGAGCCAAAATAAAACAGTGCTCCAACCAGACTTTCTTCAGTATCTCTCCAATTCAGAAGAAAAGCATAATTATTGATTTTAAAATGATCAACTAAATCTGGTGTTATCTTAAGTGGCTACTCATGCTTCTGATACTTTTAGGAATAAGTGTCACCAGAGTACTCAGAACAACTCCTCATATGCCTGTACCACACGCCCTGCATGCTAACAGTGCTTTCATTCTACTTATTTCATTTCCTTATTTTCCATACAGTGCTGGGATTCAAACTCAGGGCCTTATGTCTGCTGGGTATATGTTCTACCACTGAGTCACATCCAGTCCCTGCTAACAGTTAAAATTTCCAGCAACACTCAGAAGCTTGATATTTACAGTACTTATCCTGAAGGAAGTTTGCTTATGATTTAGAAAAGTCCCCACAGCTTTTATGTTTCTATCCATTATCTCCCATTTTTCTGAAGACTTTAAATAGAAACAAGATATTTTTAGCAACAAAATACCCCATCCCATGGTTCAATAAACTGTAATATCTAAACGATGGAACAGGTTTCCTTGTTATAAATTATTACCTGGAACCAGAAATTATGTCCTTATACTATAAAAATACTGTTTTTAAAGGTATATTTAAGAGTAGAATCTTTTAAAATCAATGTATAATACTGAAAACTAATATACATATATTCTTATAAGAATTTCTTTTTATTGGGAATAAAATCTAAACTGTACTAAAGTGCATTTTGTATTGCTTTTTCAGATCATTTTTATTAACATCTAAGCACAAATATCCTATGCTAAATGCTAGATTCTGTGCTTACTCAAAGATTAGCAATCTTTCTTTTGGTACCAGGAATTGAACTCACGACCTTGTGCTTGCCAAAAAGGCGCTGTGCCGCTGAGCTATATCCCAGCTCAAAGATTAAAAAGATAGGCAATTCTTAGTCTCTAAACCAAAGCATACATAGATTTTAAAATATAATAAAATTGGGTGCTAATTTAGATAACTAATTTAGCCTTTCACTTTCAATGCTAGAGAAAAGATCATGGCTCATCTTTCGGAGATGTTGACCCAGATGATCCAGTTAGTCACAGCTTTTCTTTTTTCTCTGCAACAATACACCAGTTGCCATGATCATTCCAGGAGCTCAGAATATGGAGTTCAGACACATTCTCCCGCAGGAGACCACAGAGCTCGCCCTCTCGAAATACGTGGTAATAGCGCATAAAGGCCCTTGAATCCAAAATGTTGGGCTGTTGTTTGTCAGCAGAAATTGTGTCATCTGGGTCAGAATCTGTGGAACTGACTGTAGAAATTCTTCTCGGTATTTTACCATCAGAAGGGAAGCCTTTCTCTAAGGCACCTGATTCTACACAGTTCTCACTGGGCAGAAAAGCCTCTCCTCCATTTCTTCTGTTTCCTCCTTGGTCTCCATTTAAATGCTTCGAAGTACCTGGTGCTCTCAACCACTGCAAGTGTTTCTGAGAAGTTTCCAGAAACACTTCCTCATCTAAGCTTGGCTCTTTTGTTGTAAATGGCTCTTGGCGTTCAAAGTCTAAACTAGGGAGTCTGGAGGGCTGGACTGATACCGTGTCACTGGCCCAGCCTTCTGTGTTTCTCAAGGGTCTCACACTTTCAATTTGCTTCCTCAGAGTGGATTCATCCAAAGATCTGGAGAAAAACCAGGAACGGAAAGATTTTTCTAATGTGTTATAAAATCCATTTTCTTCCTCACCTTCCTTCAAAATACTTCTGCAACAGGTCCTAGTCATGACAGGTTCATACTCCAAGCTATGGGATCGCTTTGAAGTACATCGTTCCTTGAAACAAACAGAACAGCTATACTCAGGGCAGGGAGGACGGCTTGTTTCTGGATGCCCACACTGCCTCTGCCTCCCAGACGGGCTGGATTCTGAGAAGAGCTGGGAACATAAGGCTCTATTCCATGGGACGAGAACATCTTGCTTCTCAAAGTGGCGGTTCTTCTGTTCCATTGCCCAAACATAAATCATCAGTTGGCCTCCAGGAGCTAAGATCCTGGTCATTTCTTTTACTGCTCTGATTCTTCTTTGTTTTGTAGAAAAATGATGTATGACTGAAAAAGAAGAAACCACACCTCAATGAATATACACATACACACATATGAACAGCCACACATATTAGGACTTCTGTATAACAACAATGACATTTTGGTATACAGTAAAACCTCCCTATTTCCTACATGGCGGGGCAGATGGAAGAAATAGCATGGGTCTAGCTTTAGAAGAATCATTCCCTTTTGTCATCAGTTCCTGCACTTAATAGAAAGCTGATCTCTGGCAATTATTTAAGTTCTATGGATTTTTTGTTTCTTCCACTATAATAAAAGAAAACAAACCATAAAACAGATAATCCGTGACATCTCTTCCAGTTCCAAAATCCTTAACCAGAAAGATAGCAAGTGTGAATTACTAAAATTTTAAATGAAAAGTAAGTTAGATGAGTGTTACAATTCTATGAAATTACTCATTGATTTAATGAAGAATTGGTATTTTTATAGCATCAACACCACTCATGAATAGTGTTAATAAAATTAATAAAGGAAAAGAAGTAGAGAAAATATTAAAAGATTATTTTAAAATTTAGATAATGCCAAGATAAGCTTGCCCAGAACAAGTCCAAATGATTATTTAGCATTTTAAAAATGTTAATGTGACAAATGTATACATTTTTAAAAATAAATTTTTACTTACAATCCATGCAGTCAAAGTGAGATTTAAGGCAGTACATGAGGCAGCTTTTATTTAATCCTAAGTGTGTTATTAGGCATATTTTATCCAATAATACATAAAGTGCCAACCTCTTAGTTCCTGGGGAAGTTTAAACCTAGTACTGTGTTAAGAGACCACATCAAACTATTTTTCCAAATATCAGCCTACTACACACCTCGTGGATGAGGCTATTTCCAACCAAAGCTGGACACTCCAGCTCTGATGTGAGCACAGTGGACAGGGAGTGCTGAAACCGGTCCTTTAATGCTCACATACTATGGTTGTAAGGAGTGATTGCAGGCAAATTAATTTCTATAGCTTATCTGCCATTAGTAATACTAAATATGTAAGATGAGACTTTTGTGTGGATAATGCTGTCAAAGGGAGATCGTTCAGTTGGCGTACTCTGTATTGTTAGTCATGAGGGCTTCATTCCTAGCAATAGCGTGCAAACCCTGCTATCTTCACCAGGCTGTGAGTGAGAAACGTGGAGGTGTGAGGACAACATGTGTCTGAAGAACAAAACACCAACTTATTTCATCCTAGATCTATCAGACTAGCCTTGTGATCTTTGATCAATTATCATGTCTTGCTATGCCACAGACTACTCCCAGCCTCCACAGAAAGCTCTTAATAATGGTCCTTTTGAAAGCATACACTTCAGAAGGTAGTGCCTTGGTGCCTGAATTGAAAGGAGGCACAGGGGTCACACAGGGAGACTCAATACAATGCTGATGTTTGAATCTATCTCTCACAACTTAGAGCTGAAAATGTCTCCCATAACTTATACCTCTAAACTGTACTCTCATAATCTATTGCCCTAACTTGTACTCCAGAATTTCTCTTGGCACATCTTCTAAATAAAATATATTCTCATTATTCATGGATTCTGTATTTGTAACCTCAAATGTTAATCTTCCCAGACTTTCCTGGTCATTCATCAGTTTGCACAGAGAGGCAATTAGAGCCCCCGAGACACATGTTTCCAGCTGAGGTTGAACAAAGCAATCTCTTCCTTCTTAGTTCAATTCTAACCCCGTAAACAAGTCTGCTATTCACTGTCTATTTAATGCCACATTTTCTGCATGTTTGTGATCTTTGTTGGTGATTTTGAAAGGGAAATTCAAATTTTAAATAAAACCTGTAAAGGATGCCCACCAAGACCAAGCAGACATGTCTGTGTCTAGCCAAGCCTAATAGCAGAACATTCCTTCCTTTGTGTAAGCTTGGTTAACAGATGTCTTTAAAATACAATTTGAAATGTTCACTTGTGTAACCCCTGTCTTTGTATAACTGATGGCCTTGTAATGTAATTTAAAATGCAACAGGACATTTCTTCCTCTGTATAACCCATGCTTTATATAACTGATGGCCTTATGATGTGACTTGAAATGTTTAAACTCAACCCTCCAAAGGTGCAAAATCTGCCTTTGTACCCCACTTCTTGCTCTCTCTATAAAGGACCCAAGACTTCACCAGGCAGGACTGACTCTTTGGGAGAAACCCCAGTCAAGCCCACCGTGTAATGAACTGCTTCCTAAACCTCCTCAGTGCTGTTTCTTCCTGTGTTTGGTCCATTTTCTGTAACAATTTCACTATTTAGAACAGCCTGCCCTGCACACAGCCCGCCCTGTTGTCTGGAGCTCTTCAGAACAGAAGAGTTGATGGGCCTTGTAGAGACAATATACACGCCATATACGCTTCCTTCAGGCATGAGTTTAAAGTTTAAATAAAATGTCTTTAAACAGAAGCATATACAAAACAAGATTATGTATTTGTCAGTTGACAAAAATGTTATGGCAGTGGTTTATAGAAACCCGATCTTATATTCCTTCTGGGATCCTGTATTCCATTGGATTGACTAATTCAGTGTTTATAGAAATTTTACAGAACATAGCTCCCGTGAATAATAGTATTTACTGTATTTATTTTGGAGAGATAAAAAAATTGAAAAGGACTATTTCAATGCAATAAATTCTTTTTAGTAGACTGGGAGGTCTTTGACATTTTAGGATTCCATTTGGCTTCAAAAGAGGTCTTTTTTTTTAAGGAAGGAAGTCTTTATCCATTTATTGATGAATAAATGATAATTCACTTCTAATCATAATTTCACCCAGGGAAATCAGAATATTTTGCATTATGTTTTACATTCACATTTAACATGGAATAAGTAACACCTTTTGAGTCAAATGTGCCGTAGGTAAAAAGCTTACAAATGAAGATTTCTTATTAAACAAAGCTGTGTTATACATATATACACATACATGTTCTATTGAAAATGTTGCAACTGTAAGGGGACATAAGAATTTGTCATCTGAAGTACCTATGTGGTAAACACTGAATTTCTGAAAGATGAAACAGGACTTTTGTTTATAAATCATAATCATAACTTAAAGGCAAAAACAGTATTTCATATGTGTATCCTATAGCAATATTTTCCTCCTGAGAGCACAGAAAATAGGTAGGTTTAGTTCAATTATTAGATTCCAGAGCTGCGAAATTACACAAGATCATCTTTAAAGTACTGTTACACTTATTATTTTATAATTTATTGTTATTTAATTTGCATTATCTGTCTAAGTATTAAGAATTTATGGGCTTAGCACAAAGCTTGTTATATTCAAATTGATTAATTTTTTACAGTGCACTAGAGCAAGTAATTGGCTTTGGGAAGATTTTTCTCTTGCAAAGCAACTTATCGCAGAATTCCCTTAAACACAGTCTCCTAGCGACTAACATTATTAGGTATCGGGAACACATGAGTTGAGTAATGTGAGCCCTGTCTGTATATTTCAGGCATGAATATTTTTTATTTTTTCCCGAATTTTTTGGCATGTGTGTGTTTCTGTGTATACCTGTTGGAAAACTCATGAATAATCTCTGATATGAAAGAGCAGAAAATCATTATAAAACCAATGCAGTGTGGCGCCAGCTGTGATCTATTTCTCCAGCAACCTGAGCGCTAGTGAATGGCACACTGGTCCAGGTGACATTTACTGCATTAATCCCAGAGTGCTCCACTAACACAGAGTCCCCTTTGTGGTATGATAAACGTAATAAAGTGCCTACAGTCTTCACTCTGGAAGAACATGATTTCATTTTAACATAATAAAGTGCTATTTTCAGTGAGTAAGATTCTTCTAACACTTTCTTACTCCTAAGTAAAAGAAAAAGGAATAAATTATCAAAAAGGATACGATAACAAAGTTCCATAGTTTAAACAGCAAAAATAATGATATGTGCCATAAGTGTATTAGAGCTTAATCAAATAGTTCAAGCAGTCAAAATATTTTTTTTATTTTTTTGGTGCCAGGAATCGAACTCAGGACCTTGCGCTTGCCAGGGAGGCGCTTATGCCACTGAGCTGTATCCCCAGCCCCTAAAATATTTCTTTAAAAAGTAAAATAAAATGAACACATTGAAGTTTCTACACAGAATGGATATTGGGTCATGAGAGTGACCTCAACTACATGCGTCATTCTCATAGCAAAGTGTGAACATGGGATGGCTGCCTTACCTCCTATGGAGATGATGGCATCGAAGCCCTGATCCCTAAAGGGGAGATTAAGGTTGTCACATACCATGACTTCACATCCTCTATTCCGGGCAATCTCTACCAATGGCCCACAGTAATCGCAGCCCAGGATATGGACCTGGCTGTTCACTTTAAGATACTTTCCAGTTCCACAACCTATAAGAAAAAAACCTGTGTTACATGCTCTCCTTAAAGAAAAATGTGAAGTAATTTGCTTTATAACAATCAATATAAGCTTTATACTGTTCCCAAGGTAGGGTACAAGTATAAAGGTAGGCACAAAAGCAAAAGAAAAACTTTTAGAGAGTACTTACATACTGTAATAGAGAAGAAAGGAAAGGAGTAATGAAATAATATTAATTGAATATTAACACTGGCCCAGCACTGGGAATAACAGCTCCAGTATCCCAGAACTATGGACAGACTGTGCAGTTTCATTATTTTCCCCACATATTTCACTTATGTATATACAGTGCATATTATGACATTCATTTTCTTGATGTCTCCACAATGTTCTTACTCCTCTCTGACTGTGCTAAAGAAACTACTGCCAACTTTTCAAAGGCAATGAAAAATTTATATAGCAAAACATGCTCCCAAAATTTTACAAATCAAAATGAATAGTTTTTAGCATCTCTTCTTCCAATGTATTTATAGCAACAGGTTGTAAATAATCTCTGATGACTCCAAATACAATTCTATTGACTCAGAATGAAGGGGAATTGAAATTTTAAATGAAAGCCCACTAAGAAAATGTGCCAAGAATGCCTGCCAAAACTAAACAAGCATGTTTGCACAAGCCTGATAACAGAACATTCCTTCCCTGTCTTGAGTAACTCATCCTTATTTAACTGATGGCCTTGTAATCTGAGATGTTTAAACTTCCTTGGCAACCCATGATGTCACCCAACCCTGCAATCATAATGTGCCAAATCTGCTTCTGTATTTCATGCTTGTTCTCCCCATAAAAACCTGGAAACCCTGCCAGGTGGGGTCCTAACTCTTTGGCAGCAATCCCAGTCAGTCCCACCAGTATAATAAATTGCTGTCTCCTAGACCTTCTTGGTGCTGTGCCTTCCTTTGTCCAGTCCTTTGCTATAACAAGAATACAGCTCAATCAAAGATGTTCTAAAAAATTGACCATTTTTAACATTCATTTTCTAGGGGTAGACACTCAAATAATTTAGAATTTACAAATCCAAAGGTGTATATTATTAGATCTTACTGATATTGTAAGGAAAACAGGAACATGAATCAATATCCATACTTTCTATAAGAGATTGAAACTTAAAGTGGTCTATTTCAAGACAAAGTGGTTAACAAACATTACTAGCAGTTAAAATTACCTAATGGCCTGAAAACATGATAAAGTTCATGCATCTAGAAGGCCACTAAGCAAACAAGATTTTGGGGGAGCAATACACTAGTAAGAAAGTCTTTATTGAGAAATGTAGGCATGAGAAAGGAAGGCAGAGAAAGAATACCCTATATGGAAAGAGTAAAAGTTGGGCCATGTCTGGGAAGACTGCACATCCCACAATTCTCAGCTAATGAGGAGTCAGGATAGGGACCTACATGCTAGGGGGATAAATTGCCCCACAAGTACCTTAATGCCAGACACCTGATCTTGCAAGACTTGTCTCCCTTTCACTCACTGTGCTTCACGTCTCCAAGTCATTCCTTGGGTTTGGGCAAGTAAGAGTATTTCTCACATCTTCTATATCTAGTACTTGGTATTATAGTTTTTTGTTTCTTTGTTTGGTTTGGTTTGGTCTCGATACATGGCCTAGGCTGGTCTGAAACTCCTGGGCACAAGTGATTCTCTCACCTCAGGCTCTAAGAGTTGGATACAGGCACACACCATTGTACCTGGCTTCTAGTATTATATTCCATCATAGACATATAATCTGATTTCTTTCCAGAAATATTTAAACAATCATTACGGTGGATATTTTTATCTTATTGGCATTACTTGTAGAGCTTTCTGCCTAGGCGTGGGACCTATGACTATTCAAAAACAATTGATTTGTTGGTTCTGCAATACATGATGGTACTCCTTCAACAACTCCTCTTTGGTAGGGATTTTCCAATATTATGAGGCAATAAAAACAGAATTAAGGTACACTGATATCAGCAGGGAGTAAATACTATGAGTAAAAAAATAAAACATGATTGGGGTCTTAGAAACATTTTGCATCTCATAGTCACTTTCCCCAGTGTTTATGAGAAAAAGCATCCACTATTTGAAAAATAATTAAAAAGGTATTTTAAAATTGAAACCCTGTGTATTTCAGGGATGATAGCCATACTTTAAGATAAATAACCCTGCACACTCATTTGCTTTTTATTGGCTTGAGGGATACATTTGGAAAAATGAAAGGAGAAATTACTTCTAAGGTACTAATAAAAGCAGGTTCATAAACCATTATGGCTAAAGGGAACTATAAAGAAAACATTTAGTAATAAAGAAGAAACTGAGATCTCTTCAAATTTAAAGTGTTTGATATACTTCCAGAGTCCTGGCACCCTTGGTATATCCAGCACTCATGCTGAAGGGTAGCGGTGGCACTCCCAAATATGATGTATAAATTATCCATTCTTGGAGTACATGCACCAAGATGCTAGCAAGCAGAAGATTTTATCCTAATGAGGAAATCAAGCATATTGCTAAGCTAAACTGTCCCATTATCTTAAGTGTAAACCAGAACTTGAATGATACAGTGGAAGCTCCAGCCGAGAACAATTATACTCCTTTAAAAAATCTCATTAAATGATAACCTTGAGTAATACTAAAGAGAAACTGCATGCTTTCATTTGCTTTGATTTTGTATTCTGCATTGCACTATGGTTAAAGTAAACAGGTAAGTGCTCAACTCAACAAAATGTTTTGGCCAATGTTAGGAAAGTATTTGTTGAAATTAACTAATATAAACACTCTCTGAAATCTATAGAAATGACTACATTTTTAAAATTGGGAGTTCTTGGCCAGGACTGTGTGAAAGAGAATTCTTTTTTCCTGTAGGAAAAAAGGCAAATATTATATGAATTTTTGTATACATTTCTTGAGTCCAGAAAAAGTATGTTTTATTCTGCATGCAGGATGCCTACCACATAGCGAGTGTTCTAAATTTTTATTGCAGCAGTAAAGAAGTGATCACTAGGGAATGATTTAGTCCATTAAAAATGACCACTGAGCCAGGCATGGTGGCATACACCTGTAATCCCAGCACTAGGGAGGCTGAGGCAAGAGGATTGCTGTGAGTTTGAGGCCAGCCTGGGCTACAAAGTGAGTTGAAGGCCAGCCTGAAATGCATAGCGAGACTCTTTCTCAAAAAGACACAAAGAAAAAAAATGACATTGAAGCTGAGAATAAATACATTGTGAGTTGAGAAGTAATTGAAGTCTTAACTATTGAAAGTTAATTTTTACTATGTACACAAAGATATCATTTTCAATACTATGAGGGCAGTTGTCCCAGGGGTCAGATAAAAAGGGAATCTTGCTCAAAAAAGCACCCAGTACTGGTCTTTCTCTCACTTTCTGAAGTGATCCAAGTAAAAATTTCAAACCACACAGTGCCCTCCGTGCACCATCTGATGGATTTAATACTGACTGACCCATTTCCGTAAAGGCATTGCCATAATCTCACAGGTCACAGCACTTCCTGCGAGCATGCTGCACTTTTGCTTTTTGAAGCAGCAGACTTCCTTTCACTTAGGCTGCTGTTTCTGCTCACTTAGGCCCCCATTCCTGCCCTCCATACTTAGTTTCCATGCAGAAGCCATTAGTCACATATCGCAGCTAGTTAGCTGGATTGGAGAACAGGGTGATGTGTGTAATAACAATTTCCTTAACTGAAAGTTTCTTAGCTAAAATAGTGAAACTGCCCAGAGAATTCCTGTTTGGGCCACTGGAATTTGGTTACTCCTAGATTTGTTTTTTTTTGTTTGTTTGTTTTTTTTTTTTTTTTTACTGCACTGCTTTACTAGTAATTAATTATAGTTAATTATAAATTGCTAATCTAATAAAGAGTCAAATTAAACAACACTTTCTTATGGAGATTAGTCATAGTATCATGCAATCATTCTTTCTATTCATCATTTTGGACTTCATTTATCCTTTTCATTTATTTCTTCTTTAACTTGAAATTTATTTAAAAATATATCTTTCATTTTATACTCAAAATAATGCTACTCATCCATTAGTTACAAAATCAAAGGCATACAAAATTCAAATAGTGCAAATGAGCAAAAAGACATCTATAGAAGCAATTGTTGATTTGCATGGGAAGTAGTCAAAGAATATTATTCATCTCACAACTTGTAGTACCAAAATATGTACAGAAAATGATACACATTATATATTAATGTGGCAGTATTAGCATAGAGTGCAAAGTAGCTTTTAGTACTTTTTTGTGGGGATACAGGGAATTGAATTCAGGACCTCGGACTTGTCAGATAGGAGCTGTGCCACTGAACTAAATCCCCAGCCCAAGGCAGCTTTTAATCCTAGGCAACTATACAATGCCTAATTGGCAATGATCTCCACAAATATTTTGAAAGTAACAAAAACTAGATCTAAACCTGTGTGATCAAAAAACAAAAAAGGAAATCCACCTACACTTCCTCCCAGATGCACAAGATGCTTATATTTATATAAAATATCTCAAGATTACACAAGACACCAACAGCACAGGTGGCCCCTGGTGTGAACTGCTGGTGCTAGGGGGTGGCGATGGAGAATGCTTTGCATTGCACATGCTTTGTACCATCCTTACCCCGTAAGTGAATTACCTATCAAAATATTTTAGGGAGGTTTTACTCTTATTTGTGAACTATTTGTTCATATGTTTTTCTTTGGAGTTACTGGTAGTTTTATTTTTCTTCTGAATTTATTCCTTCGGTTCAACTGAAGCTTTTGCCCTTTAACCAAGATCTCACCTTTCCTTCTCCCTCTTGCCCCATCCCTGCCCCAGATCTTGGTAATCTCCACTCTCCTCTCTTCTCCTAGGAGGTTTTGTTTTGATGTTTTTGCTTTTTGTTTTTGTTTATCTCACAGTCTCACAGTTAAATGATATGAAGCAGTATTTGTTTTTCTGTGGCAGGTTTATTTCACTAACTCTATCGCCCTCCAAGTTCTTCCATGCTGTAACAAATGACAGAATGTTGGACTTTTTAAAAGTACTGACTAAAACACACCCCATAGGTTAAGAAAATTACCTGTTTCTCTACGAGAAATGTTGTTGCTATTTTACTTAGTTTTTTATCTTTTCACTTCATTTATATATTTGTCTAGATTTTCCATCTTATGCAGCATTTTAATTTTATGGGGGTTAAATTTATTAACACAGCAAATCCTCATGACTGAAAGATGCCGTATCTCCTGTTCTTGCTAAAATTGGTTTCGAGCCCTGAATGTAGTACTACTCACGGCACCTGAGTGACAGCTCCTGCCGTACACTTACATGGCAGCAAAATTTCTGAGTTAACTGAGGCCCACATGCCCAGGCTTCTTGCTTCAGCTTCCCTACTGGAGTCAGGGAAGAAAATCAAAGTGGAGCAGCAGTATGTGAAAATTAAAGCGGAACAGGGAGGCCTCACTAAACCAGGTTTCCAGCAATGAACCGCTGAACTTTTGCCCTGAGCTATCTGCCCACCCAGCTAGATCTATCTTGGCAAACTGGGCCCAGCTACAATTTTGAGCTGCATGAAATTCACTAGCCTTTGTAGCAGTCTATGAAACTGCCTTCTCTTACCTCCCTCCAGCCACCTAGGAGGTGTGCCTGACTCCTTCCTTATAGACTTCTGTACCATTAGTAATAATTTCTTTCTTTTTTTTTTTTTTTTGGTTTTTCTCCGGTACCGGGAACTGAACTCACGACCTTGCGCTTGCCAGGTAGGTGCTTTTGCCGCTGAGCTAAATCCCCAGCCCCTTAGTAATAATTTCTGACAGACAAGTGGTGTAATTAACAACACCCCTTGCAGTTTAAACTATAAAAACAGCTACCAACTGGGCACAGTGGCCCACACCTATAATCCCAGCCTCTTAGGAGGCTGAGACAAGCTTGAAGTCAGTTTTGACAATTTAGCAGACTGTAGCTCAGTGATAGAGTACTTGCCAAGCAATCGTGAGTCCTTGGTTTCAATCCCCAGGACAGCCCCCGAAAACTCAAAACAAAGATCCAACAAAAGCTAACATTTTATAAAAGCTCAGAGCACATTTTCTAGGCTATTCAAACTTGGTGCCTCTCAGATGGCTGTCCTAAAAGCCTCGAATAAATATAATTTTATCTTTGTTCTTGAGATTGGTTTTATCTCAGTTCTTTGCACAATCCTTTTGGTGCCCCATGCTTGCATTTTTGTAGTTTTTGTTGTTGGTGATTTTGCTTGTTAAAATGGTCCCCAGGCATTCTAGTGTTCCTGAAGAAAAGAAGGCTCTACATGTCCCCTATGGACTAATAAGTAAGAGATAAGGTTTGTTCAAGCCGTGAGTTAATGTGTTAGCCATGAGTCCACGGCTAACGTATCAATGAGATATAGTAAATATAGTGATTGGCAGCAGAAATGTCAAAACCCTCTACAGCAAAATCCTGTGGAAGTGAGCCCAGCATGCACTAAGCAGTCACAAGATGATATACTAACTCTGATCAACATCAGCATGAGGTAAAAATAAATCTTTTTCCTAAGGAGACAGGGCTTTTTGTGAGGTCAAAATAAATGACCCGCCAATTTGCAAATTTGAAGAACAACTTTAGTTAAAAGGCAGGTGCTCCTAGAAGATTACTAAGGAACCTGCCAATTCATGTCCGAGATGTCTGCATTTACTGACACTCCTTCCCATGCCTCAGTCCCTTAGAGAAATCCCAGCTTCTCACACTGACCTTGCCGTCCTGGGTTGGAACTTGCCCACTGTTCTCTTGCACTGAATCAATAAACTCCTAACTTTCTTATATTCCTTGACAACATGTTGACAAGTTCTTTCATGGCCTGTATCACCTGCCCTCCATAGGTCATCTCACGTGGCAGTAAATAAGATGTCTTTCAATAAAAATACAACAAAACAAGGTTATACACTAATGGATTGACCAAAGTATTGTGTCCAAAGGCTTACAAGAAACTTTCCTGTGCTTCCCACTGTCAGGCTAGACCTTGACTAGCAACCAAGACCACCAGGACAGGCAAGACTGAAGCAAACAGTGATTTTATTTCAGGTTGGGTGCAACCTGACCAAGAGAGAGAAAGCCGTTGGCCGCAAACAAAGGAAAGGGGCCTACTTTATAGACTATTTTAGGTATGGGAGGGAGAAATTCCACTGAGAAAGGTTGAAAATTTAAGTTTCTCAGGGGCGATTGGTGGGTCTGGGGTGCCTCCGGGGGAGGGAAGTGTAGAAGGACATTGGCATGTTGCTGATTTACAGCATGGCATTCTGTAGACCTAAGAGGTTTCCTATAAGCCTGAGAACTAGGCCTGGGAACCATCCTGATAAACAGATTTACTTTAGTCTCTCAAGCTGAGTGAGGGGCTTTCTGTTTGAACAGACTCATTGTCGGAGTTTTTTTCTATTCAAGTTCGGCGGGGTACAACGTGGGGACCTAATACCTACTAGGGTAATGATTCATCACTAATTCAGTGTTTATGTCAACTTTTTAGAACATAGTGTTAGTTCAAAGCACCCCCACCCCACCCCAGCAGCCTAACTTATATTCTGCCTTTGAAACCAGCTGACTTCCTCATTCCATCCCTCCCTCCACACTCAGGTCAGGCTTAGGAGCTGCCATCCTGCTTCTCCTGCCTCAGGCCCCTCGTAGCACTTGTTGTGCTAATGAATCTTTCTACCTCAACTGGTCAACTCCAGGTCTTAAATCAACCCCATAATAAGTACCATTAATAATGACAGTCAATTCTATCTTCTTTTTGAATTTTTTTGGCATGTGTGTATCCATATGTGTGTTATATATACAGAGGAGCCTTTTAGCCTCAGAGAACGTTTTTAAAACAATCTTTTTTTTGAGGCAGAGTCTCTATATGCAGTTCAGGCTGGCCTTGAATTCACTTTGCCGCCTAGACTGGCCTCAAACTTGCAGCTGTCCTCCTGCCTCAGCCTCCCAAGTGCTGGGATTAAGGAATGAGCCACCACCCTTGGCTAAAATAATATTAACTGTCATCTAGTCCTTCAATATTTTCTTTTTCTTACACTTAAATATTTGCTTCTCTTGGAATTCACCCTGGAGTAAAATGTGAGGAAGTAGCTCTTGCTGTCAAGTCATGAGGTCCTAAGACCATTCATTGAATAGTTCCCTTTCTCCACATAAATTTTAAGACCCTGGTACTCTGCATCTTCTAAAATCAGACTTTTTTTTTTATCCTTCTGTGGTTCTGGGGGTTGAGCTCTGGGCCTAGTACTTGCAAAGCACTGAACTACCTCCTCAATCTCTGAAACCAGATTTTTAAAAAACCAACATGACAGATTTTCCTCAGGACTCCTAATTTGAAAGTAACACACACCATCTTCAGTTTCTACAGCACTCACGCCTTCTTGCCAAAGCCAGAAGCTCTACTCTACCCATCTGTTTGTTTCTCTTACCAGCAGTGAGTGATGTCAAATGAGACAGTATCGAACTACAGACTTTTGATTCTCAGGGGCGCAGTCATCATGTAATGGCATGAAGGTAGTTTTAGTTGGCATGCTCCAAGTGGGAAGCCGAACCCATTTTAAATCCTACTCTTAGATCTACTGAGATGTGGTTTGAGACTTCTCTCAATTCAGAAAGATACTGCGCTAAAGTTCTCTAGACAAATAAGTGATTAAAGATATGCTGTAATAATAAAATACCTAAAGAATAAGTAAGGTAAAGGATCTGTGATTTTAATAAGAGGGTATAAGAACTTTTCCATAATCCCACAATTCCAGCTCTTTTATAGAGGCATAAAACCACCAAGACCCCTGAAGATTGCCACTGTCCAAACAAAGATTTGAGGATATTTTCTGCTTGGTGACTTGAAAATAAAAATTTATTCAATAAAGTGAATAATCTACAGACTGGCATGCCATGAACACAATTTCAGGCTTCTTGTTAGAACAAAAATAAACAGCATATCTGCAAAGGACAAGCACAACGGAACGTATTTCACACTACATGGCATAACTGAGTTACCGATGTCGGCAATGAGGCTGCCGGGCTTCTGGTCCTGGAGGAACTGGCGGACTCGAGGCCAGGCTTTGCTCTGCAGGTCACTGAAGTAGGGGGCGGTGCTCTTGTACACATCGTGCACATGCTGCTTCTCCAGCTGGGCAGCTTCAGGATCCATTCTGGGAGAAGCAGGTTGGCCCAAGGCATGAAGGTCAGACTATTACACTAGAAACAGCTAAACAGGGGTCACAGACCAAACATCAGCACTTACAACAATGAAAATTGTGTTGTTCCCATACGTTCTTAATGCTGCAACAAAACTTTCACTATAACCTCACCCTAGGTGCCCAAAGATTAGTAAATGCAGTTTTCATCTCATTGACTTTTAGAAGGTAGTGGTCTGAAAATGGGGGAACCACTGTTAATTTCCTGTGTGAGATGAATTCTTAATTTTGGAAGCAGAGCCAACATTCTTACCAAATGGTTCACTTTGGTAAGACCATTTTATTGGATGCTGAATAGATTTTAAAATTTTATAACAGGTAGCTCATTAGGCCCATCAAGAAGCCCCGTGAGCTCAACCATTTTAATGGTTTTTAGATTTCAACCATTTCTCTACATCCATTACTGCTTCTATTTTAAGAAAGGGATTGATTTCTTATTTGCACTCTTTCAAGAGCCTGCAAACAACTTTTCTGGTTCTTCAGTCCTTTCCCCTTTAATATGAAATAACAATCAATCTGAAATATAAACCTAACTGTGTTACTTCCTATCTTAATCTTTTTGAAAGTCATTTTACAGCTTGTCCCAATCAAGTTTAGCGGTTCATGCAAAGCCCATTTTGATCTGGCCTTGACTTAGTTCTTAAAATTCTTTTCTCACGATCTTTCCCTAGCACCAAATGAACCTGTAGTGAACCATAACCAAATGAACCAGGGATCCAGGGTTTCTCAGATGTGACACACTCCCTGTCATCCGGGGGTCTGAAGATACTATGAAATACCCGTCTAATTTCTAGTCACTCTTAGTATAGGTATCACCTACTCCACACAAGTGTCCCTGAACTTCCCTGATGCATCAGGACAATCAAAAAGGAATTAGAAAAGTACAAGAGTAGATCCTGGAGGTCCCTGCTGTTTAGGGATTAATCCTTCATTCTATTGGATCATGTACTCAAGGGATCTCCTGGAGGAGTGGGCAGGGGTTCAGAATGTGGCTTTACCAATAGATATGAAAGTACCATCAATAATTTAAAAAACTATTGGGCTTTCTCTACGGGTGCCTATTAGATAGTTCAGTACTTTCCTGTGTACTGCTGCATCCCATACATATCTCTACAGACCACAAAGTTCTGCGATATTTGTGTTTATAGTTTTGCTTCCGATACTACCTGAAAGCCCCACGTAACTCTCTTAGCTTCTCACACTTCAGAGGCAGCAGACTCTCAACAAAGGAGCAGACATACATCGATAACCAGAAAAGATTCTTAATTCTGAGTACAAAAGGTAGCACAGAGTAATTGCTGTCCCTCTGGAAAGAGTGGGAAGGTAAGAAAATCTCGCACACTCAGCATAGAACAGGAAATACTGGCCCTGGACAGCTTCTTTCTTCCTATTGCCACCTCCACCCTGGAAGTAGGAAGCACTTGTATAAGATGGCATCTACCAAATTACTTCACTGTAAAATATCTTTTCTTCCTCCTATAGTCAAGAAATATCTTATGGAAAGATACTTTGAGGCGATGTAAATATTATGTTCTCATGCACATTCACCAGTTTAAGCATCCACTGTTGATTCTTGTTCCAAGCAATTATTCCTACAATTGTTAACAAATAAGGATAACCTAATTCCAAAATTCATACCACTACATAGAGCTTTTCTGGATGTACTCCTAAAAAGTAATAGTAGGTTGTTCTTAAGCTCTATGGACCCGTATGTCTACACTGCTAACAAAACATCCTAGAGCAAACTCCTAACAGAGTATAAGCTAATGTGTGAGGTATAACAAAACTTGCACCCAGATTTTATGGCACCTTCAGATGAAATTTAACAAGGAAACATCTGACTTTAATTGACTATGAAGGAGAAACACTCAAACACTTAAATCAGTGCTTTTGAAAAAATCAAAATCTCAATGTATTCAAACCTATTTAGGGGCTGGGGGTTTAGCTCAGCAGCACAGTGCCTGCCTGGCAAGCGTAAGGTCATGAGTTTGATTCCTCGTACTGGGAAAAAAAAAAAAAAAAAAATCAAACCTATTTAATTTCTCTTGCCTACAAAGAATCAATCAGGAAATATAATTTGAAGAATCCTGGAAGTGAGGGCTTGGGATTTAGCTCAGTGGCACAGCGCCTGCCTGGCAAGCACAAGGTCGTGAGTTCAATTCCCAGTACCAGAAAAAAACCAAAAAAAAAAAAAAAAAAAAATCCTGGAAGAAATAAATTTTATTTTATTATTCTTGCTTTTTTTTTTTTTTTTTGGTCTCTTTGAGACAGGGTTTCAGTATGCAGTTCAGACAGGCCTTGAACTCACTTTGTCATCCAGTCTGGCCTTGAACTTACAGCCATCCTTCTGTCTCAGCCTCCCAAGTCTAGGATTATAGGTGTGCACCCTGTTTGAGTGTTTCTCCTTGGTAGTCAATTAAAGTCAGATGTTTCCTTGTTAAATTCCATCTGAAGGTGCCATAAAATCTGGGTGCAAGTTTTGTTAGACCTCACACATTAGCTTATACTCTGTTAGGAGTTTGCTCTAGGATATTAAGAAGCAAATGACAGAAACTTGATTTTTTCCAATTCACATTTTTAAAATGGCTCCAATTTAAACTCAGAATCTGTAGTATCTGACCAGCACTGTTCGGACACCTTTCTCTTAGTTTGTTTCTGAAATTGCCTACTCTTTACTATAAAGAGGAGCTCTTACAGGTAGCTGTTTTCAAGACAAGTGATCAATATGAATCCATCCTGTTTTTATTGTATCTTACACTTAATTTAGCTGCTGTGGAATAAACTACTGACCATAATTATTAACTCATAGAGCTGGGAATATCCAAAATGACTGTTTTGAAATGCTATGCGTCTTGGTTACTTTTCTCTCGTTGCTGAGACAAAATACCCAATGCCCAAAATGAAGGAAGGAAAGGTTTATTTAGCTTACAGTTTGTGGAGGTTTCAGTCCATACTTGGCTGGCTCCGAGGCAGAAGGTAGCAAAGCAACAAGAGCAAAGGGGGAAATGGCAGCCAAACAGCAAACAGCCAGAGCAAAAGGGAGGAATGGCAGCAAGCAGCTTCTTTCCCTCCCTTACATTGTAAACAGGCTACCCCCACCTAAGGGGCATGTAGCTCTCACATAATTTCCATGCCCTCCTCTTCCACAGGCTCAGGATATATACAAAGTAAGCACCCTGGCTTCCTGCTGAGTCACTTAGCCAAACCTCTAGACTCCTCAAGTTGACACAATGTATCAACCATAACACTATGGATGCAAATTTTTTAAAATACTTTCCATAGGAATTTTAGGTATACTGTTAACTCCCTGTAGATTTGGTAGTACTACTAAGATAATAAGACTAGTAGTAAATTAAAAGCACAGGATTCTAAGTGAAACAAATAAGGGAAATTATTTTGACTGAGCTTTCTAACCTGTGCTATCAAATTCCAGACATGTAAAATACTCCACACAGAAAGAGTCAGCACTCAAAGCCACATGTAGTACCCTTCCTTTGATTCCAAAATGCATACCAGCACACCACAAAATTTCAGAAAACTCACAGGAAAGAGTCATAATTGATTTTTACGTCTAGTTTTTCTCAAAATCATTGGGTCCATAGCATTCTTTTTCTTTATTTAAATACCTCTTATCTAATTTGGGAATACATTGTGTAAGAGACATTTTGGGAAATGCTATTTTAATGATTTCCAATTTGAGAAAGTCCCCCAAAAACAAAGATGGCGTTTTGCCTGTGTATCTCCCAGCATTCATGTAATTTTAATGGTAAGGATGAAACTATATATTTTAACTGGAAAGTCAGAGGGAAGCACAACAGAATGGCTCATCCCTGCCAATTTGAAAGAAGCTGCTCCTGAGCCACGGGTCAGATGCCAGCTACACCGGCTGGGCCCATGTTGAAAACTGGATGATGGGACACCAGGTCACTGGCAGGGGCTGGCGCAGCCTTGAGAATCTAAACTAAGACCCGAATAGTTAGACAACCTCAGGGGACTGGGTGCAGTCACACGGAGTCTGCTTTAAGCCATACCCTGGTAGACGAATGAAGGGAAAATTGCTCTGCAAAATGAAGCAAGATGAGGTGGTGATATTTCATAGACATTGTGGAGGAGCCAGAGGTGGGGAGGGGAAAGCCTGGGAGATGAGATGGTGAACTTCTAGGCTAGTTCCCACATGGGGTCTAGGCCGCAGCCCAGGGTCACTTAACTCCACAAAACCTTCATTTTACAGTGCTGGCTTGCAGCCCAGTACACTTCCTGCCTTTGAATCTCTATCATATTCCATTTGAGATCTAAAATATCATTCAATTCAATTTATTTCTCTTTCTTACAACCCTAGCTTTCCTAAGACAGGAAAAACTGTTTTATTAAGGAACAGCTTGAATGCACTATTTTATACCTCAAATCACTAGTGTTCCAGGAGTGTGGCCATTTATTTTTCTGTTACTATTCAAGCAGTCGATAAAATTTACAGGGTAACTTTGAAATGAACCAACAACAGAATTGGATGCTGAATGTCAAAAGCAGTGATAAATATGATAACAAATACATAGCAGAAATGAGTAGAGAAAGGACAGGCTTACTTTTCCAGAGTGGAGCTGTCAAAAAGTGCAGGAACCCACTGGACATTGAATCATCTCTCTTGTCCTTTCCTGCGCCCCACAAGCTCTGCTTGCCTTCCTGGGTGTGGTATCGACACCCACACCATAAGTCCCCAATATTCATATTCACAATCACATGATTTGGTATTTTCTCCACTTCCTCAAATTTTTACATGACCTATCATTTGCACATCCTGCCTACTGTAACTCCAAAAACGCCTAGCCGGTGCTTCCATTCTTGTTCACTTCTATTGCCAACATCCTGCTCACTCTTCAGAGCTCATGCTCTTTTCCTGTTTTTTTTTTTTTTTTTAACTCTGAATAATTTTCAAAATTCTTTTCATAACTATAAAAGTAAAATAGCAAGAACTAAGGTGTACTGAATACTGATCAGTGCTTGCCTGGGACTGAAGCAGAGAGACAACTGAAAGCAAAGGGGAATTAATTGAGTTTTCAGGACAATAAAAATACTGCGTGCCTTGATTGTGATGATGGTTTTATAACTTTGTTTTTTAGTGCTGGGAACTGAACCAACGTCTTATGCATGCAAGGCAAGCACTCTACCACTAAGCTACATCCCCAGCCCTGCTTTTAAATCTAAAAATGAGCATTTAGTGGAAATAAACTATACCTCTGTTAAGAACCACCAAACATCTGAGATTCTACCTTGCTTGCAGGCTAACAAAAGAGCCTGCCATGGTTTCATGGGTGCTGGAAGAAGGTACAAGACTTCAAGGTCAGGGGCAGGTGATTCTAATACTCACAGCACAGCAAGCAGCAAGAGCTGCAAGTTTGCATCAGTTCCCACTGGCCTCAAGTTGCTTGGAGATGATACAGAGATAGGCCCCGGCAGAAAATCTGCACACAGTGGGTTTGTACTACAGGTGAGGAATCCTAAATTAAGGGACCTCTCTGTCTTATAAGGGAGCCCCTAGCCAATATCCTTGCTCTGGAGAAAGACATATTATCCTAGACTGAAAAGAAAAAAAAAAACACCTACTACCTGAAAGAGACACAATTTCTCCTATTTTTTAGCCAAACATCCTTGAAAAGATAGTTCAGAACAAAAGCTGACACATCCATATACACTTGCAGAAGACAGAGCAAAACAGCTAACACATGCTTGGGAAATGAAAGAGCATGTGGCTAATCGCCTTGGTGAGTCATGAGAAAAGGGAAAACACTTTAAAATGTAGGGAGAAGTCCTATAAAGTAATACACACAAAAATTAGAAGAATTAATTTAGATTTTACCATAAATGCAATGGCAGAGCATTTTAAAATGGTGTGAGTGAGAAGGGCATATGATTACATTTCCATTTGAAAGCTCACTCTAAGTAAACTAGAATAGCTATTGTCTTTATTGGTCCAAGCTACTTCATCATCTCCCTTCTGATAATTTGCATCTTGCCCTCTCTGGATAGGTAAGTGACCCCATCCTGGCCATTTATTGTACTCCATGCCCCTGCACAGAATCATGGCTCAGAAGTGACACAGGGATTAAAGCTGATTCCAGCAGAGACCTTCCTGCATTGCCTCTGTGTGGAGCAAACTGAGAGGTAGCCTGGCCTGCAGCATCACAGAGCTGGAAAGATGTCCAAATCAGGCTACTGGCAACGTCTTTCTTACCATATGGAGAAGAGCTATCTTAGGTAGAGAGAATGAGGGCAGACAGAGAAAGCAGAGATAAATGGAGAAGGAAGAGTCATGTTAGCACAAAGACTTCACTTCCGTCTCTGAGGTTACGGTTCTTGCAGTCCAGAAGGCTAATCTTTATGCTCCCCAATTCAGTCAGTAATTTCCTCTAAATTTAAATGTGTTGGATTTCTCACCTTACCTCCATAGGGGTCCACCCTGATTCAAGACTTCTTACACCAAATGTTTTGTGCTGTTTTCTTCCCCTTCTTCTTTTCAATTCCCAGCCTTTATTCCTTAGAGAATGGAAGAGAGAAGAGAAAGTAATAGAAAGCTAATAGAAGCCGGAAGTGACGTGGTATGTTCCCCAAGGAGCACAGTAACAGATATTAGCAATTTCCACGTCTAGAATCAGAGTTCCCATTGAGAAGTCACACGCGTTTGGATTTCCTTTCCTAAGTGTGGGATTAGGATAACACTTCACCTGCTTGAATTTTGGCAAAGCCATGTGACTTGCATTGTATATTAAATATGATCGGAAAAGATGAAGACTATTTCTGAGGAGAAGCTTTATGAGCCAGTGTGCGGCCTGCCAAATTTCCCTTGTCTCTGCAAGGAAATTTTCTTTGTCATGAACGCTGAAGTATTTTAAGTCCCTCTGTCCTTCAAACAAGGAATAAACACCTTAGCTCGGTGTATGAAATGGTGACTATGTAGACAATGAAAAATAAAGACAATCATGTTCCATTAAAAGATAACTTGTTTTTCCTGGGTTTTCTCAACAGAGTATTGATTTTTCTCTGTTTTACGAAAGTATTCTAACAAATCTGTGAGAACCGAATGCATATTTTATCTCACTTCTTAAATTTAACTTTATATTGAGAGCTACTTTTCCCTGGGGCCTTCTCCAATTTTCTCAAATAAATCTAACACCCGTATACCTAAACTCCATAGGTCCTGAAATGTATCACATTCTACAAAGTAATATATATGGTGCTCTCTAGAAGTGTCAAGTACTTGTACCAGAATATGAATTTCTGAAGAAACAACAGTTCATACACACTTTTTGTTAAGCCTTCGGTATATAGCATTTGACTCATACATATTATGTCTTCAGGGAAGTGACATTATTGATTCTGCTTGCTCCCACTTAATTCTCAGGCTCTTTAGCTGCCCTTAGGAAGCCAATTAATATAGGAGACGGTTCAAAAGTGAAAAGCACAAAAATTTATCATCAATTTTACATGTACATGTGGCTTGTTACAAAAACGAATTCTGAAATGATGCTTTTATACTTAAGAGTGATAACTTTTACAGTTTTATACTTTTTTAAAAAAAAGAACAATAACTTCGTGAAGGAATAAGAGGACAAATAGATCCCTGAACTCGGGTAGTAAATTCTGGGTATGTCACTAAGAGATGTGTGTGTGTGTGTGTGTGTGTGTGTGTGTGTGTGTGTGTGTGTAAGAGGTGATACAGAACTAGGGGAAGATAAGGGTGACTTTGAAGAATTGGTTTTTCAGGTTCATTGCAGGCCCTATCATGAAACTCCAACTATCAGGGCTGTTTTGCTGCTGTGGTTTGTGAAGGCCATCCCTTGCAAAAGAATCTTTATATAAGGAAGGAAATGCAAGCCAGAGGGCCCTGTCTGCAGTTACAGTTCCTCAAGTGATTTCAGCTTAAAATAATCAATACGTCAATTTGTCATATTTTAGAGAGTATATCCTTAACTCCTTTGGTCTAAACATGTTTAATGAATCATTGAAAAACAAAACTCTGGCAAAATGAGCTATGCAGTATTTCTTTTATATTTTTAAATTTTATTTTTAACTCTTTTTTGTGTACAATTGATATGTGTCAATGTGGACATATTTTGATAAGTTTTGAAACATGTATACACTTGGGAAAACACTAAGCCAATGAAGATAATGAACACAGCTACAACCCCCAGAGTTCCCTCATCCCCTCTGTAAGCTCCCCCTCCTCCCCTCCTCCCCAACCCTGAACAATCCCTCTCACTCTCCTGTTCTGGAGATGGGTGCACACCAAGCCGTGTATCCACCTATCATGATTTCAAAGGCAGTTTTGAATATGTGATGTGTCCACAAATACAATATAAAGAAAAAGTTCTTTTCTAAATTTATAACTTACTATGTTTATATAGTTAGAAAAGTTTATGAATTTTTCTAAGTTTATAACTTCCCAGTGATCACTGTCCAATAGGCAAATACTCACACATATATAAAGAGTAAAAATAACCAGAGGAGCTAAATATGCTCCCAGGAAAAGGTTTTCCTCTTGTGTCATCAAGGAAACGAGACACTGCATTTAGTCCCCAGAGGTCTGGAAAGCTCTGAGAAGGCTTTGTTTTATCTTAGTAGGTGGCTCCTGTCCTCAGGGACTGGATGGCATACATGTCATCGCTGGGTTGCTGGCTTTAATTTGTAATTTCCCCTCCATGAATAAATAAATGCAGATTGAGACCTCTGTTTCATGCCAGTGCTAGATGGATTAATATTCCTATAATAGATCTTTAGTAATACTTCCTTCCTTTGAAAACCGTTCATGGGTCCACTACTGCATACGAGATGAAGCTTGAGTTCTTGGGTCTGCCCTCCAACCCTGCATGAGTCGCAGTCTACTTTTCCAGCCTTACACACTGCTACTACCTAGACATAAAATCTCAGCTCCACCCGAAGCAACCTACTGCCATGGGCCAGATGTGGTTTGAGAGTGCCCCCAAAGTTTCACATGCTGGAAGCTCAGTCCTCAAGATGGTGATGTTGAGGTGGTGTGGGGGGACCTTTAAGAGCCCCGTGTAGGGTAATGAGATCATGGGGCATCAGCCCAGGCAGGTAGTAAAGCTGATCTAGTAGAGGGACTCACTTCTTGGAAGGGCAAGTTGCTATGAAGCTTGGCTTCTGAGTCCCTCTGACTCCCCGCCTCATCCGTGACTCCTTCTCCCTTGCACATGCCCCTGCCACATTCCGTTCTCCAGACTGTGAAGCAGCTGGGAGGCCCTTGCCAAAGGCCAAGCTAAGGGGGCCCACCCAGTCTTGGACTGTGAGCTCCCAAACTGTAAATGAAATAAACCTCTGTTCTTTATGCAGTGCCCAGCCTCAAGTGCTTTGCAGCAGCATAAAGCGGACTGACATGACTCATTGTCCCTGAGTGGGCCTTGTATATAGTTCTTCATTCAGGTGGTGGTAAGGCCAGCAAGCTGTTTTCTATCATCCAAAGTGCTCTTCTACCACCTTCCCTTCCCAATATTACCTAAATGCTAAATGCATAGCTTCTTCTTCCTTCATAAATAGGTCATGGATGACTATAGGTCTGATCTCTCCTAATATTTCTCTACACTGCAGATTTATTGTCTCTACTACTCTTAAGCCATTTCTTCTAATACCATTTTGGACTCCCAACTCTGAATGTGATTATAAGCTCTCAAAAGGCAAATACAACATTTGATTCATATATGTATGATATTGTATATGTATTATATATATTTACATATATAGTGCCTAGTACAGGGCTGAACACAAAGCATCATTCAGTTATTAATTACAGAGCAAATAAATCAATTTAGAACTGTGTCATTAGCTCCTTCTACAAGACTTTACTTCAGACAAGCTGGTCCTCAAGTCTTTGGTCATAAATTGTAAACATTCCCTTCATGCAGAGCCATTAGGCAGAGGAAAGAAGAGCTAAGACTTAGTTTTCTTGATTGTATTTCATGATTCTCTGCCTTAGGGTAGTTCTGCTTTAAAGATAGATCATAGGCATATAATTGTGACATTTTTATAACTAAAGACAAATATAAATATTATACATTGTTCTTTCATTATAAACGGCCAAGTGGGACACAATATTAAAAAGACAATATATAATTTTGCTTTAAATTTCCAAGATATATTCAAACTGTAATTTTGAAGTTAAGATACAAGTTGGTCAAGAGAGTTAACAAGATTTATAAAAGAGGGGCTGGGGATTTAGCTCAGTGGCAAAAGCGCCTGCCTGGCAAGCGCAAGGTCGTGAGTTCGGTTCCCAGTACCAGAGAAAAACAAAAACAAACAAACAAACAAACAAAAACAAAACAAAACAAAACAAAGATTTATAAAAGATAATTATAAGATCTGTAGCTTTTTCATGTTTTACTTAATACATAGTGCTTCCAACTTAACATCTATACATTACCTTTAAAAATATCACTTGAAATATGTTTAAGTCTTAGGAAAGCATAAAAAGTGCTAATTATATATTTTTTGTTTGTCCTGTAGAAGTACACTTTCTTTCTTCTATCTGGTACAAAACTGAACTGCAACTTGCTTTATATTACATTGTCATAACTTTAAAAAATTAAAAATGATAGAAATAGGGACTAATTAGGTTTACTAACCATGCTCATTGCCAAAAACATAGTATTCAGAGTATTTGAATTGCAAAAAAAGCTGAAAGCTACTAACCTGAGTCATCCTGTGATTCAGGAAAACCACTTCTTGCTTTTGTCAGTCATGGCAATTTCTGCCTTCAGACAGTGACAGTTGTGTCTTATGATCCTCTCAGTGTGTAATGTAAATGAAAAGTTGTAGGAGGGAAATCAAACAGTGCTGTCCTTCCCATGAAGAACCACGTTTTATGAGTTTCTGAAGAGAACACAGAGCCTGCAATAAAAAAATTCTAAATGTGATTTTGCATAATAAAATTATTGAGCCAGCTAAAACTCAAGTTGACCTCTTCACCTATGAATGAACTGCCCAGAGAAACAACTACAAAGAAAGGTTAAGATATGGAATGTGCCAGAATTACATGAGCAAGTTATAAATCAATTCCTAAGCTTCCTGTAAACATATAGTACTTTCTGCTAAAATGAAACTGAATGATTTCATCTTGTCCCTGGAAAAATTACAAACATGGAGAGTCAACTGAGTCCACTGGCTTAACTCAGTGTACACTAAGACAATATTACTAAAGTGTACTATATCATTCTGATACAACAGAACTGATCAATATTTGTTCATGTTATCACTACTTTTTCATCACTTTCACAGGTATTCCTAGTTTTTTTTTGTTTGTATTGTTGTTACCGGGAATTAAAATCATGACCTTGCGCTTGCCAGGCAGGTACTGTTCCACAGAGCTCCTAGTTATTTTTTTATTGTTCATGTTTAATCTCTTTCTTCATAAGCTGATCATGAAACTCATCAAATGGCTCTTAGCTACTTAATAATGATTGTACCTTCCATACCAGAAAGCACTTTGTAAGAGGTGTTGAGGGATATAGAATGGATGATAAGAGAAGCCTGGTGTGGTAGGGAAAGCCTGTTCGGTAGTAAATGTTCTGTGTCCTAATTGCTTGCCTGCAAATGAGATGAGTAGACCTGGGTCAAGATCACAGCTCACAAGCACTTTTCCTGATCTCCCTGTACTTTGGGTGTATACTACACTGCCACAGGCAGTACTTCATGGCGTAGACAGTGATTCTCAGGATGGCAGGATGGGTTGCCTGTGATTTTTCCTGACATCCCACTAATACTACAATCTTGGCTCCTGTGTAAGAATAACAGACCCAAGTGTGCTTTGCCAAGCTTCTCTCTGTCTTTAGAATGTGGGTATATATTTTAATTTCAGGTATCCCTGGATCACATTTATATGATCTGTGCTACTGAAAGCCAAACAGATTGACCCATCAGGTAGTGTATTTCAGAAGGACATCAAAGGGGCTAGTAGTCAAAGAATCTCATCTTTCCTCATACAGTCTTAGGAAAAGGGACAAAAGATAAAGAAGATGGTGTTTGTTTACCGATCCCCCAAAGCTAAAGGCTGTGCACTGGGATTCTGGGCCCTGACTTGGGTGTCCATCCACTGTTCTAGCTGACTTGGCCATCTATGCACCTTTCTTTCAGGCGTTAGTTCCCAAAGAAATTAGCCCCCCCAGTTACTGAGGACAAAGTTGTGAATGCCTTGTTCAGGAAGAGTAGCCAATGGAAAGAATTTTAGAAAGTGTGAAAGGCCTTTGTGAGCTACTTGGGTGGGAGCAGAGGCAGGAGGTTTATCTATGTGGCCCATTCACACCCAGAAACACTTACATATATTGCTAACTTCCCTTAATTTCCCTAAATTACCCAAATATGCCTCTGTCTAAAATGTATAAATGCTATAACCTTCTCAAAGGAGTTTCTATGTAACGACAAAACAAGATAGTATCTTTAACAAGTTGAACTCTGATATGTCCTTTTACTCTTATCAGTCACACATCTCTGCATATTTAGTATTAAGAGAAATGTGTTTTCCTCATTTTCTTGAGTAAATGCGAAGCCCTCTTCTGGGGCAAAGCTTCCTAAATTGAAATTTGGGGGTAGGTCATGTATGTGAATTTTCCTAGGAAGAAGGTCAGCACCTTACATCAAGAGTAAGGCCAAAGTTAATGTAAGAAAAGAAAAAAGATGTGCTGTGCTAGAATAAAATACACATTCACCTGGTCAACAAATACTGATGTATATTTTTGTAAGGCAAATATACTTTCTGGCACTTGTAAGGTACAAAAAATAAAGATAAAATAGTTCCTCCTCAACCCTTCCACCATTCAGAAACCTAGGTTCTAATAAGGGAAACACAATGAAACAGAAAATTAAAATACGTAGGACTTTTACTTTATAGTATCTGAAGGAAAAATAGTAAAATGAGCATGAAGCTCAGGAAATCAGACTGGATTAGAATCATGTAAAAGTCATTATTATCCTCGGACCTGGCAGTCAGGGACATGGGTGCAAATTAAATCAAATGAGGTTGTGCAGGGTAAGAAAAGAAATGAAGGTAGAACACCAAGGGTCACCAACATTTAGCCCCATAAATGTTAGTAAGAAAGGAGCAGCTAGCCACCTGCTATTAGAGTACTACTATAATTAAATTTAAAAAACATTGACAGCACCCATTAGTCAAGAGTTGCATGGGTATCTGTGAAAAGAGCAAAGACAGTGGAGGTGGTGGAGTCCCTACTTTTAGGATCTACAGGCTCTAAGGAAATTAGTGCAGAATAACAGCTGAGCTACAACTGGGGAATGCCAGTATGCAATCAACAGAAGAGTGCAGATAGCAAGCAGTATTTACATCTGTAGTTTGAGGCGATGCTTTGACTCCATGGCTCTTTCTAAATGATGAGGTCAGTGAAATAGCCTCATTAATAGTCTCTGCTGTACACAGAACTCTCTCACGGTCTGTCAAAGAGATCACAGTGAAAATGGCAGAGAAGGGAACAAGTAGCATTTCTAATTGAAATCCTATGAGCAGAACAAACCTAGCACTTTGGAACAACAAAACATGCAACACTGGGAAAATGTGGCTCTCTGTAAAATTCCAACAGGGCCAATCAAATTGCTCTGGAGAAAATACTTGTTGAGAGAAAGCAGATCACAGAAGGCAATACCTTAGGGGAAGCAAACCAAGAATTTCCCCAAGTCCCTTGTTTTTCTTGAAAATTTCCCAGGACTATTTCTAGATGGACTTCGTGTAGGTGTAGGATATTATCTCTAAAATCTAAATAAAGGAAATAAATGTGATAACATCTGGGAGGGGAATGTGTGTATGTGTGGTTACTGGAAGGTGATATAAAAAAGAACGATAAAAAGAGGATGATATCCTCCACAGGCTATGACTAGGCCATATTCACTGTAACTATATTACAATTCATTTTGATTTTATAGATTGCAGAATTCCAGAAAAGAACAAGACAATCATACATGAGATGTAAGGGAAATGAAAACAGAGCATCTAGCAGGCATTTGCTTCTTGGGTCAGTTTGACAAAACCAGCTCTCGGTCTGTGCGGAGATGAAAGGAACAGGCTCCCCAGAACAGCAGCTCGCTAGAAGATTGTTCTGATAATAAAGAAAGGCAATATTAGAGAGAAGCAAAACATTCATTATCTGTCCTCTCGCCTCGCAGGAAGGATAGTTTAGACAGGAGGGGGATGAGGAATCTCACAGCCATTTTACTGGTGAAGGATTGTTGCAGAAAGGTTTGAAATGAAGGTCACGTATTCACTATAAATGTGTCATCTAATAATTTTTCTGAGGAAGGAACTAAGATGGAAATGTGAAGATAAATTATTTACTGCTGTCTTTCATAAAATATGTCTATAAGGGACTCCAAAACAGGCACTCCAAGATTATTACTGAAAACATGGAATGAATAAAGTCTGATTATGTATTTGAGTTTCCAGAAGAGCATCCATATGCATAAATATGGTGAATTCTGGACTGACAAGGGTCTCATCCTGTGGAACCCACCTCTGCCCCATTCTTCTTAGTTGTCTCCGCATCTCTTTCCCATTTGCTCAGCCTAAGGTCAGGCCCTCACTGGGTCCAGGAGTTCCCATTCTTGTGCATCTCACAGTCCAGAAAAATCTCAAAGGGCCATTTGCAGAAGCAGAAAGAATGGGTGATTTTTTTTTACAGGACACAGACAAACAGATATGTGGATAGACACAACTGACTTAGGTATTTTATTTTTTATTAATTACTTAATCAATCAATTTATTTATTTTTGTCTTTTTGAGACTGGGTCTTGCCATGCAGTTCAGGCTGGCCTTGAGCTCACTTTGTAGCCCAGACTGGTCTCGAACTCGCAACAATCCTCCTGCCTCAGCCGCCTTAATGCTAGGATTGCAGCCGTGTGCCACCACACCTGGCTTGATTTAGGTATTTTAAATCCTACATTTATTATTACCATAGCTGAAGAGATGAGGGGACACTCCCTGCAAAGTTAGGAAGCCATAATTTCAAACTAAAGGATCTTTCAAAAAGTAATAAAAATTAGCTTCATGAAAAACTAATTAAATCATCTTCACTTTTCTCATCTCACTACAGATTGATGAAAATGTAAAGCAACATTAGAATAATGAACTGAGTTTTGCAAAACAAACGAATACCATAGTCTCCAAAGCCCCGAGCCCTCTGCCTTCGAAACTCCTGAAATTTGCCCTGTACCTTGTTAAGCTGGTGGATTCACTCTCCACTCAGTCCAAATACCTTGGCATGTCACCAAAAGCTCCCGCTGTGATCTGATGCCAGCCACCCACCCTCTTCGCTTATGATGTTCCATTCCCAGCCCTTGCCCTGTGCTCTGTTGAGTCTCCTGGCAGTAGGCAACCAGAAAACTCTTTGTTCCAGCAAATAAGGACTTTGTAACAGGATGTACAGAAAATCAATCCACTGCTTCTTTCATGGAAAAACTCTTGCTTTGATAAAAGAAAATCAGTTCAGTGACTTACTCACGTTCTGGAACAGGCTCCCAAGCTAGTATTGCAGTCCCAATTGGTAGTACTCTGAATGCTTTGTATGACTGACTTTGTTGTGTTTTTGTCCATCTGTTCCCTCTGCCTGGACATTCCTTGTTCCTCTAGACCACCTAACAGACATGACTGAGGCTTGGCTTGTATCATACGCTTTATGCAGTCTTTCAGTCATGCAGATAAGACTCATCACTAGTGCTCCCTATGCCTCTCCTACACTGCCCAATTGCACCTCAGTAGCACTATGGTGGCCATCCTTTGGTATACATTGGCTGACTAATATCCAACTGCATTTTCTATTGGGGAAACTCCATAGTGTACAGTAATGGGAGACATAGGGTCCACCCATTTACCAAAAATACTGAAGCAGGTG